AATTACATATTCAATAATTATCTGAGTGAAATGGAATTGGAGGAGACGGCCGGTGAACAAGATGATGATTTTCCCGGTCAAGTGAATGAGAAACGTCGTTCGAAACATGTGAATGTGAAAAATGCGAAACATAATAATAAAATTGTCACACCGCCAGATGGCGAATCGCGTAAGGGTAGCTTGGAGGAATATGACAAGTACACCAGCACACCCATCAAGCCGCGTCCCAGCAATGCCAGCAGCAATAGTTCTGAAAAGAAATTTAAAAGAATTTCAATGATAGAGCTGTCGACCAAAAGTGCCACCCCCTCGGATGAGGATAAACCAAAGATGCAACGTTTTAGATCTATGCAGTAAGTAAAGGGGCAAAAATAAGCATTTATTTTTGGAAAAAGGGAAAGGAAACTGACTCAGGAAAAATTAGAAAATTTTTATTTAAAAAAAAAATATTGAAAAAAAAAATGGAAGAGGAGGATAATCTCAAAAAAATTAACTTTGTTAGCCTAACTCTTCTTTAAACCCCTTTTGGCCTTCTCAAGATCCAATATTCTCGACCATATCTTCTGAGATCCAAAATCTTTTTACTCTCCTTTATGTCCACAGGAAAAATTAGAAATTTTCTATTAAAAAAATGCAAAAAAATAACTTTGGGAGGGAAGGATAATCTAAAAAAAATAACTTTTTTAGCCTAACTCTTCTTTAAACCCCTATTGGCCTTCTCAAGATCCCATATTTTCAATCAAATCTTCTGAGATCCAAAATCTTTTTACTCTCCTTTATGTCCACAGGAAAAATTAGAAATTTTCTATTTAAAAAAAAAAATGAAAAAAAAATTTGGGAGGGAAGGATAATCTAAAAAAAAAAAATTAAAAGTTAATTTTTTAGCCTAACTCTTCCTTAAATCCCTATTGGCCTTCTCAAGATCCCATATTTTCGACCAAATCTTCTGAGATCCAGAATCTTTTTATACTCCTTTATATCCACAAAAAATTTAGGTGCTCTTACCCAATAACAACAGCGATTAGGCCAAATCTAGACAAGGCCTCCCACAATGGACAATTTTGATTTTTCTAGCGCCAGCGTTTTATAGGGGTCACAAGTTCTAAAACACCCAGAAATATCTTCCTAAATTGGCCAGATTTTGAAAATGGAATACCTCCCCTTTTCAAAGATAGAAGTTACAACGATTTAGCTCTACAAATCACAAAGTTATGGGAAAAATACCCAAGTGTCAGAAAAGTGAAAATTGCCAACATTTTTTGAGTAACTACCTTCCACAGACCATAACTTTGGATAACTTCAATGTATTCCAATGAAGTAAATTGGTTTCCTAAAGAGAAACGTGAGCTCCTTAAAAAATTTTAAAGAAAGCCTACATATATCTCCTTAAGTGTCCAAGATATCGGAGAAAATGTGTATGCATAAACTTTTTGAAACTTACAGCATTATTTGCGTATGGACCTTCTGTAAGCCAGAACTTCTGTTGGGTACTAAGTATGTCAAAATTTTTAGAGGAATTTCAGAGAGCATCTCGCTTTTATTCAAGGGCATAAATTATTTGGCTGTAGGTCATCAAATGCCAAAGTTATGGGAAACAAATATATTCACCGGAACTTGATTAAATGCATGGCACTATTTGCGTACCCAGCTTTCAGAGGTCATAATTTCTGAGATATTCTACGCATTTTATGAATTAAAGGCAATTATGAAAGGCGATAATGTTCTCCTCTAATGCTATAAATTATATGCATGTAGCCCATCAAATGCCAAAGTTATGGGAAAAATATATTGATACCAACATTTCTTCAATCCAGGTCACTATTTAAGTGTAAACCTTGAAGAGCTCATAACTCCCGAGGTATTGACCGCATCAGAATACTTAAAGGCAATTCTGAAAGAGGATTCCTCTCTTTTTATTTTGTATAAGTTATTTTGATGTAGTTCATTAAATGACAAAGATATCACCCAAAAATCACGCGAACTTAAAATTACCAATCATTTGCCATTTTTTTGGTAAACATATTGCAGAGCTGATAACTCTTGTATTTGGTTAAGGATTTTTCCGAATAGGACTTATTTTGAATAAAAGGCCTTAAGCTTTAAAATAGTTGTAAAAAATATTGACAAAGCTCAACAAATGTCAGAGATATCGCCGAAAAAACTCGAGTGCGCAAAATTGCCAAGTATTTGGTATTTTTCGGTTATCACTTTCTAGAGCCGAAAACTCTGGAAATTATTGAGACATTTTCAAAAACTGAATTGGTTTTTGAAAGTGGAGGCTCTTGGGCATTAAAATTATGGGAAAATATAATGACATACCTCAACAAATATCAGAGATATCGCCCGAAAATCTTAATTGCGCAAAATTGCCATGAATTTGGTATTTTTCGGTAATTACTTTCTAAAGCCGATAACTCTGGAAAGGGGTGGAGGATTTTTATGAATTTGATAGATTTTGAAAGACGAACTCTAAGGCATCCAAATTATAGGAATAAATACTGATACACTTCAAAAAATATCAGAGATATCGCCCGAAAATCTTGATTGCGCAAAATTGCTATAAATTTGGTATTTTTCGGTAATTACTTTCTAAAGCCGATAACTCTGGAAATTGGTGAGGCATTTTCGTAAACTGAATTGGTTTTGAAAGTAGGGCTCTTGAGACTTAACATTATGGGAAAAATTCTGACATACTTTAATGAATATCAGAGATATCGCCCGAAAATTTTGATTGCGCAAAATTGCCATTTGTTTGGTATTTTTCGGTAATCACTTTCTAGAGCCAATAACTCTAAAAATTTGTAAAGTATTTACAAAACCCGAACTGGTTTTGAAAGTGGGGGCTCTTGGGCATTAAAATTATGGGGAAAAATATTAACGTACCCCAACGATTATCAAAGATATCGCCCGAAAATCTTCATTGCGCAAAATTGCCATGAATTTGGTATTTTTCGGTAATAACTTTCTATAGCCGATAACTCTGGAAATGGGTGGAGGATTTTTATGAATTTAATTGATTTTGCAAGATGAACTCCTAGACATTCCAAATATAGGAATAAATGCCGACATAGCTAAAAAAATATCAAAGATATCGCCCGAAAATATTGGTTGCGCAAAATTACCAAGTATTTGGTATTTTTCGGTAATCACTTTCTAGAGCCGATAACTCTGGATATTGGTGAGATATTTTCATAAACTGAATTGCTTTTGCAAGTGGAACTCTTGGCCTTTAAAATAATAGGATAAAGTATTAACATACCTTAACGAATATCGGAGATACTGCTCAAAAATCTTGATTGCGCAAAATTGACATGTATTTGGTATTTTTCGGTAATCACTTTCTAAAGCCGATAACTCTGGAAATTTGTGAGGCATTTTTAAAAACCAAACTGGTTTTGAAAGTGGGGGCTCTTGGGCATTAATATTATGGGCTAAAGTATTAACATACCTTAACGAATATCGGAAATACTGCTCAAAAATCTTAATTGCGCAAAAATGACAAGTAATTGGTATTTTTCGGTAATCACTTTCTAGAGCCGATAACTCTGGAAATGGGTAGGGGATTTTGATTGATTTTGGAAGTACGGCTCCTAATCTTTAAATTTTTGTGAATATATGTTAACATTGCTTAACAAATATCAATGATATCGAACAAAAATAATGAATGCCCAAAATTGAAAAAAAATTTGGTCTTTTTCGGTAATCACTTTTAAGGGCCGATAACTTTGGAAATTGTGGAGGGAGTTCAATGAATTCGATATTTTTTGAAAGTGGGGCTCCTAAGCTTTACATATTGGTGGAATTTAAGGGGAATTTGAATATAATTATCTTCAATTTTGCGGCAAAAAAGAACTATATATTCTTGAAAAAAATTTTTTTAAGTTAAGACTATTCCATGAGGTTTTGAGCGTCAAGGGGGTTTTGTGTTTAAATTCTGTTATTCTTCCATGCATTTATTATTTTCGTTGATATCTCAAACTATCTATTTTTATGGATTTATTTAATTTTTTATTGGCATATAATTGTTTATGTAAGAAACTGATTAACTTTGCTTAAGCCCCCCATAATTTGTGTTGCCATATAATTTCTGTTTGTAATCCGACATTAAATAAATTGATCGCTATTGTTCGAAATTTAGTATTTATAAATGTCATTAGCAGATAGAACTATGCCCCCTTATAATTTACACTTTCTTAGTAACACTTATCTAAGTTCGAAAGAAATAGAGTTTGTCTCTTGGCATTTTCCTATCACCGATTTCATTGTAAGTTCTATCACGTTTTTCAAGTGGCTAGAAAGAAAAAAATAATATGGGACAAATGTCGAATACCTGGTAAACAGTTTGAGTTGTTTATACTCCAAATGGAGTATCCATGTCATGTGGGAAATATGGTTGGGATACTTCATAGACAATTAATTGATGATTGACACACCTGAGTTTAATGAATGAATGAATGAATGAGTTTTTGGCCCCAAACAGCTATTGCGTCATTCATAATCGAATGGCAGAGTTCAGTAGCTATGTCAGGAGAATTGCGTCATTATTAATCGAAATGTCGGGAAAAAATTGGGGGAGATTATTATTGTTTACGTCAAAACGTAAACCATTTTCACTTTCTTAAATTGTATCTTAAATATGAATAGCACCATTGTTAGTGTACTATCCATTCGAACTGTTATCGAAGTTAAGATAAATATGCTATGTTTTTCCTTTTCCCATTTCCATACTTTCTTTTATCGGCCTTCTCTAATGGCCATATTGGGAGTCTAATTTCCGCATTATCTTGGATTCTATTCTAATTCGACTCTTGAACCTTACAGTCCAAATCCAGTTCAATCCTAATAAAAAGAATTCTAAAAGAACTAAGTATAAAAGCTTTTTTCATTACTCTGGATTTGGGTTCCAACCGTTTTCTACGTTTCTGCCAGTTACAACGATCTAGATAAAAACTGGTCTTGGATATTGTTTGGGCTCCAGAGAGCAAGTTTGTCCACCATCACACTCACGGTAGCTGCTTCCAAAGCTTTACCAGGCAATTCAGCCGTTTGCCTGAACATTTTGGTCCACGTCGAACCGGATCGACAAGCTGCTCTCCGGAGATTTCAGCTGCAGAAGCTTTTGATACCTAGAGGTATGTTTCTTGTTAGTTTATTTCGTATCATCAGTACAAAAAAAGAAGTCGAAGATCGCATTTAATCTCGCACAAATTACAAAGTTCGGTTTTTTTCACATCATCAAAATATACATAATTAAAACAAATACTACAATTTGAATATAAAACTATATTTGGAGACCTGGCTATCTTCCCAACTATCTTAGCTCAGAAGGTAATATCAATAAGGAGGAATACAATTGGCAATTGTGGAATTACCAAGAGGAATTATAAGAGGATTTCGGATTCCAGCATATGCTACCTGTCTTAAGCCAAGCAGAGGATTGTGCGTGAGTTAAAAAAATAATAATTTCTTAAAAAGATCCTTTTAAAAAATTTTCTAACTCAATGAATCTGTAAAAAGGAAATCTCACGTGAAAGTTCAAGGAAAAAATAGTGTGAAAAAAGATTCAAAATAAGTGAGGAAATTTGTTTGAACACAGAAAATTTTGCACTTTAATGTAACATATATAAGGCTGTTGAAATAAAAAAACGTGTTCTGTAGAACTATGTTAATAACAGAGGCATAACATTTATCTACAACAGCAGCACTGTTAGCTATTTGTTATCAGAACGTCTTTCTGTTGTATCAAATGCAGTTTATGTTTACATGGTAAATCTATTGGAAGATGTGTCTCAGTTCTCGGAGAACACGACTTTATTTATCATTCAGACACTCATAATACACATGTGAAGTGAGCAACCTCTATGCACGATCTCTTCCATACTGTTGTTCACTCGTCTTGCATTGTCCATTCCATTCTCTTTCCCAGCGCGCATGTCCACTGAGTACATGCTCTTATGTATGGATGTTGAGATCCAAGCTTGCCTTGTTCTCTTAAGTTATTTTTCAGCTTACCTTCGCCTTCTGTGGTCCGAGTGAGCATATGCTACTCTTGTGCATGTATGTGGTGATCAGAGCTTGCACACGTCTCTTAACTCAGTTTCAGCATCACTCTCTTCTTTTCTATTGTTCGAATGCGCATGTCCACTGAGAATGCGCTTCTCTCGTGCATGCTGAAACTAAAGCTCAACTCATCGTTCTCTTCCTCAGCCACATACATCCAATTGCTACCAATGTTTACATTCTCTGCTTTGAGTGCGCATGTCCAATGAGAATGCGCTAGTCAATTGTGGGTGAGATTACAACTCAATCGTGTTGTTGTATCATTGCCGTGTAACTACTACTGCAGAGTTTGAGTTCTCCACTCAATCAGTTGTTACATTTGTGTTCTTTTCTCTATTTATTTTTTACGTGTCATTCTCGCTGTTTGAGAGTCCGACACATACCAACGGAGGATTGATTGCTCAGAGCGGAGCATATCATTCCAAATTATTCCATTTATTCCAATTCTTCCAAATTCTTTCCACTTACATTGAGTTCAATGAACTCTTGAACGATCAGCTGCTTTTCTACTTTGGCAAAGTCGTGTTTTTGCTTGTGATGTATCTGAAGCACATTTCGAAGCAATTAGATAAAAATATTTATATCTGGATACCATCGCACAGTGGTACCAAATATCACTTTTCCACAATAATTAAAAAATTATACACTTGTCGTTATTTCCACTTTATATTGAAAATTAAATAAATTAATTGTAATAATTCAGAATTATTTAATTGAAGTTAAAAAAAATAATAATAATTAATCGATATTTGAGAAAAAGTTAATAATTAGTAAAAAATCAAGTACATTATTTAATTGAAATTTTAAACTCAAGAGACTAGTTAATTATTGGGAAAAAATTAATTGAAATGAAATATACTATTCTACTGATACTAAAATAAAGAAAAACTTCTACTTGAATTAAAAATAGTAATAATTAAAACTTTAACTCAAATTAAAGGAAATAATTAAGTAATTAAAAAAAATAAATACAATAAAATTACAAAATATTCCACCAGTGGAATTTGAAATTAATAATAATACATAAAACAATCTCCTGTTCGTTTCAAGTTGGTTTTTCCTAAAATAGCATTCAATTGGTATCCGTACTTTATACCAGGACATTTTATGCTATTTTTGCATCATTTTCAAATTTGCGCATCATTTTCAAATTTGGAACATACGGTGAACTCAGCTTGTTGTTTCTTTCACCAGTCCTAGTTGCCTACTCCGATATAACCACTTATCTGAATAATCTTTATTCATTCATTTTCTTGCCTTTGATCCACCAAACTTCTTGCTTGTAGTCATGTCACTCGACAAATTCATTCGCCTAGCTGACAGCTTGGTAGAATTTGAAGCGGCACTTATTGCCAATGAGTTTCCTCTAACAACTCGTTGTTTGCTGGAAACCCACACTGAAGAGGTGAAATCCACATGGTCACATCTTAAACAAGCTTATGAGCAATGTCTGGCGGATTTGGAAAATGAAGAAGAAGATGAAGAGGTGTCTGATGATCGAGAAACCAATGAGGTAGCGACAGTAAAGGATAAATATAAAAAATCCTACTCCACTTACTGTCGTTGTATCTCAAAGCTCAATGAAGCTCTGGAACCTCTCTCTCCTTCCTCTTCTAGTCCAAGTTTACGGTCCAGTAACTCTTTTAACTTGCCTCCAATTGAGTTATCCACATTCCATGGGGACTACAAATCCTGGCCAAGCTTTCGTGACATGTTTACGGCCATTTGCATACGCAATTCCAAATTAAGCCCAGTAGAAAAATTGTTCTACCTAAGTCAGAAGACCAAAGGTGAAGCACACGACATTGTTAGGAAAAGTCCTTTGACGAATTCCGGATTCACCTTAGCGTGGAACAATCTATGTTCCAGGTTTGAGAACAAACGAGTGCTGGTTAATGGCCAACTAAAGAATTTATTTTCACTTGTCAATATTCATACAGAAACTGCAATATCCATCAAGAAGCTTCAAAGAGATATCAATTCTTGTATATCCACTCTAAAGCTTTATGATGTTGACGTTGAAAGCTGGAATCCGATTTTCGTGTTCATTTGTTCCAACTGTCTTCCAGATTCTACTTTAACTTTATGGGAACAAACACTCTCGGATAAAACCAGCATTCCAAAATGGTCTGAATTGGATATATTTCTTACCAACCGGTATAGAACATTGGAGGCTGTCTCTGAAACGAGAAGTTCTTCTGATTCCAAGTCCAAAGGGGATAAGTCCAGACCTTTAAATACAAAGAATCAGAAGGACAGGCTTCAGACATACCAAACCAACGTCAACAAAACTAAATGTCGATTGTGTTCCAATGAATTCCACATAATAAGGAAATGTCCTCGGTTCCTAGCATTTAATTACGCACAGAGATTGGCGGAAATAAAGGCCAGCAATCTCTGTCTAAATTGTTTTTTCCAGCTCCCATGCTGTCAAAAATTGTAAAAGCAAAAATTCTTGCTTCAAATGTCAAAAACGACATAATACTCTCCTCCATAAGGATGCTGAGCAACAAAATATACCCATTAGTACTTCTCCTTCAGCTTCCAATACACCACTTCAAACGCCTAGGACATTTGCATTCCAAGCTTCTCCAAATTCCTCCATACAGTCCACTAACTCTTCAACCGATGTTATTCAAAATTGTTTCGCGGTTAATTCAAACGGCGTTTTGCTTGGTACCGCTGTAGTAAAAGTTATTCATGCAGGTGTTGGTTATATAGCGAGGGCCCTCATAGATTCAGGTTCAGAAGGTACCTTTATATCTCAAAACCTTGCCAATGCCCTCAGGTTACCTTCCAAACCTACATCCGCTATCATATCAGGCCTTAATAACACGGTTTCAGCTGCTGTTCAAAAAGAATGTCGCTTTATCCTGGGCTCCTATGCGGATAAAGCTTTCGAGATCGATGTTTCAGCCTTAATTGTGCCTCATCTTTCTAATAACCTTCCAACCTGCACAATAGGGTCTGATATTCTCTATTCGCTACCAAAGTTAGACTTAGCTGACCCGTATTTTTACCGAAGCTCCAAGATTGATATCCTAATTGGCGCAGATTTACTTCCTTCTGTCATGTTATCTGGGTGCCAGCGAGCGATTTGCGGATCCTTATTCGCCCAGGAGACCGTATTCGGATGGATCCTCACTGGCCCCATTCCAACCAAAGCTCCAAAGTCCTTCTCTACATGTGTATCGTACTTCTGCGAAATTGCTTTAGAAAAAAGTCTTCTGAAATTTTGGGAGGTGGAGAATATTCCACAACAGCGTGTAATGTCCAAAGCAGATAGACAATGTGAAGAAATTTATCAGAGAACGACAACTAGAGATGGGAATGGAAGGTATACTGTTTCGCTTCCGTTTAAAGACGAATATTCCGATTCACTAACCTTAGGTCAGTCGAGAAAAGGTGCGATGGCCCAATATATTCGGAATGAAAGTCGTCTGCTAAAAAATCCAGAATTGAAAAGAGAATATGATCTTAATATTGAAGAGTACGTCAAACTAGGACATATGATTCCTGTTCTACCTCCTACAATCTCAGAATTTCCCGATCATTACTATTTGCCGCATCATGCTGTTGTGAAGCCAGATAGTTCTACCACTAAAGTCCGTGTGGTTTTCAATGCTTCTTACGCAACATCGAATGGTACAAGTCTAAATGACGTTTTGTACACTGGTCCAGCCTTACAGAACGACTTGACTATTCTCATCCTTAAGTGGCGTTTTTATCGCTATGTTTTCAGTGGTGATATAGAGAAAATGTATCGCCAAATCCTTGTGTCTCCTTCTCACACCCACTTTCAGAGAATCCTGTTCCGCCAGAATCCAACTGAACCAATAAAGGATTACGAGTTGAAAACTGTAACCTTTGGTGTTAACTGTGCACCGTATCTTGCGATACGTACGATGATTCAACTAGCCAATGACGTCCATGATTCATATCCATTAGCTAGTCATGTTTTGAAGAATTGCATGTATGTGGATGATGCCCTTGCAGGGGCACATGACATACACACAGCAATTTCAACCGTACGTGAATTAATCCTATCTCTGAAGTCCGCAGGATTCAACATGCGAAAATGGACCTCCAATTCAACAACAATTCTCTCGGACTTGTCACCCGATGATCTTCTTAATGATGGCTTTTTAGACTTTAACGCACATTGTGCAGCTAAAATGTTAGGCATTCGTTGGAATGCGTATTCTGATCAGTTTTATTTCTCCTCCATTGCATTTTCTCCCCATACTTATACCAAACGAGAGGTTCTTTCCCAAATATCAAAACTATTTGATCCTGCTGGCTGGATTTCGCCGGTCATTGTATTAGCCAAGATAATTATGCAAAAAATATGGCTAGATAAAGTGGGTTGGGATGAAGAGATATCACCAGAATCAATTGACTTATGGAAAGCATTTCAGTCTTCATTTTCTTCCATCAATGAGATTCGTGTTCCACGTTGGTTTAACTTTGTCCCAGACCATGAAATTGAATTCCACGGGTTTTCGGATGCATCAGAAAGGGCTTATGCCGCAGTACTATACATTCGAATTGTTTCTCCAACTACTGTGTACACCCACTTAGTGGCTTCCAAAACGAAAGTAGCACCGATTAAGTCCCTATCTATTCCTAGACTGGAATTATGTGCAGCTACTCTCCTTGCTGAGCTAATTGACAATTTAGTGCCTCAATTCGACGTTCACCGTCACTCATTACATTGCTGGACGGACTCCACCATTGTGATTTCATGGTTAGCAAAACAACCATGTCATTGGAATACTTTTGTAGCAAATCGAATTTCTAAAATCATCCAAACTGTCGATCCACCAAAATGGCACCACGTCAGTTCAGAGGACAACCCCGCCGATCTCGCGAGTAGAGGTGTCTATCCACAGGATCTAATCCAAAATGATCTTTGGTGGAGAGGTCCTGCATGGTTATCTGAATTTGACACTCCTTGGGAAAATTACTCTAATCAAGATGTCCAACCAACTGAATTAGAGAAGAAGTCGGTAAAGACACATTTTGCATATTTCGAAAACTTCCACGATTACTTAACGAATTTTTCTTCCTACCCAAGAGCTCTAAGGATTATGGCGTATGTATATCGTTTTATAAATGGTACTCATCCACGATATAAGACCAATAATAGACGTTATGGTAACGTCATAGAAGCTCAAGAAATCATCCATGTTCGCTCAAAGCTGATATCCATATACCAAAGGCTATTTTACCCAAATGAGTACATGGCGCTGAGTATCCAAAGACCGATTCCTTCTTCTAGTAAACTATTGAGTTTGAATCCCTTCTTAGATTCCGAAGGTCTAATGCGAATTTGCGGTCGACTTGAAGTATGTCCAGAGTTATCCTACAACGAGAGACATCCTATAATTGTTCCATACAACTGTCAATATTCCAAACTATTAGTCCAATATATCCATTTGATAAGTCTACACGGGGGCAATCAACTTGTCCTCCGATTGGTCCGTACACAATACTGGATACCAAAGGTTCAAAATCTTATAAAATCCATTATACGAAATTGCAAGATCTGTGTCATATATAAGAAAAGATGCCAAAAGCAGTTGATGGCTGCATTGCCTCCAGAAAGATGTGAAATATCCCGACCATTCACACATACCGGTTTGGATTTTGCAGGACCTTTTGATATCAAGAGCTATACTGGAAGATATTGTCGGATTACCAAAGGATATGTGTGTGTGTTTGTCTGTTTTTCCACAAAGGCAATTCACCTTGAAGCAACATCCGACTTATCCACATCCAATTTTCTGGCAGCTTTTAACCGTTTTGTTTCCCGTCGTGGGTGTCCACTCCATTTGCACTCTGATAACGGAACTACGTTTGTCGGAGCTTCCAAGAGGATCGCAAAGGATTTTATCGATACCTCGAATCAAGCTCTAATGTCCAATTACGCCCACCAAAATTTGACATGGCATTTCATACCTCCCGGAGCTCCTCATATGGGTGGACTCTGGGAAGCCGGCGTAAAAAGTTTCAAACAACATTTCCGCAAAATTGCTGGCAATACAAAATACACATACGAAGAATTTCAAACCTTGCTGACTAAAATTGAGGCGTGTCTAAACTCTAGACCAATATCCCCATCTTCTCAAAGCCCATCAGATTTCACCGCATTGACTCCTGGACACTTTTTAATCGGTTCTCCTATACTATCTCTCTTAGAACCAGAAATTTCCCAGTCATCCATTTCTATTCAAAATCGCTGGCAACGAATCCGATCAATGTATCAACATTTTTGTAGCAGGTGGAAGACTGAATATCTGAAGGAACTTCATAAAAGGACTAAATGGAAAAGTCCAGAACGCGATGTCGAAGAAAATATGCTGGTGGTTATTCAGGAAGAAAATCTCCCTCCGACCTGTTGGCGTTTGGGCAGAGTGGTTCGTGTCTATCATGGCAATGATCAGAAAGTGCGCGTTGCTGACATTCTCACTCAGAAGGGAAGAATCACCCGGCCAATTACAAAATTGGTCATCTTACCAGATAACCAGTCTTAGACTTTATCCTCATACAAAGCCTAAGACAAATCATTTTTTCCATTTTCTATTTCACTTCCATTCCATTTTCTTTTTGTAATTCGTTCCTTTATTTCAGTTCTCTATTTACAATATTACTATGAAGGGTCCTTCGTCTTCTCGTTATTCGGAATTTGCCTGCAGGTTGTGCCGCAAAAAACATCCTCTGAAATCGTGCTGGAAATTTCGTGCCATGAACTCCGCCGAAAGGTTAAATGCGGTCAAGAAATATGGGTACTGTATGAACTGCCTGGCGCATACCCATTCACAGGGCACCTGTTTTACCACCACAGGATGTGGATATTGCCACAAAAAGCACCACTCCTTGTTACATCAACACCCAAGGTTACAAAAGGCAAAATCATCCTCGACAAAAAAGACCAATAAGACGGTTACCCCTCTTGATATCACCACCCCCAAGGACTCTTCAGCCACTACCGGCTCAATACCGAGGTCAACATCGACATCCAGTATTACCTCTTTGTCGGCACTTCTTAGGCAGAATGCCACCCCTCTTCTTCCTACTGCAGTCGTCAAAATCAACGGAGCAAATGGCACACAGTTGGCAAGGTGTTTATTGGATTCCGCGGCCCCCATGAGCTGCATTTCAAAACGCTTCGTAGATAAGCTGGGGTTGTCTACGCTCGAGTTGGAAGATGAAGTTATGTGCCCCGTCACCTTGACATCCTGCGTCGATTCCAAGACAAAAATAGAGGCTATATTGCGAATGAGGAACAGGATTGGAATTACAACTCCTAAGCAATCGCTGCCCGAGTCTTCAAAACTCAGTTTCAAAAACTTCGTCCTAGCAGATAGCAAATTCTACAAGGCAGCTTCTGTTGATATCGTCATTGGGGTTGACATATATTCCAAAATTATAGTCGACGGCATCTTTATTCGCCATGGACTTCCTACAGCTCAAAATACCCTTTTCGGATTAGTGCTATATGGAACATTTTCAAATTAATACAAATAATTGTACTCTCTTCCACCACTTTTATTCTGAATTTACGATACCTTTTTTTTAAATACTAATATGCCAATTGAAATCACTTGAAAAGACATATTGTATTATGATATAATAAGTTATGCATTAAGTCATTTAGTCATATGAATTTAGTCCTAAATGAATTGATTATATAATTGTCATGTCCCCTTGCCATGGGGGGCGGAATGTTTACGTCAAAACGTAAACCATTTTCACTTTCTTAAATTGTATCTTAAATATGAATAGCACCATTGTTAGTGTACTATCCATTCGAACTGTTATCGAAGTTAAGATAAATATGCTATGTTTTTCCTTTTCCCATTTCCATACTTTCTTTTATCGGCCTTCTCTAATGGCCATATTGGGAGTCTAATTTCCGCATTATCTTGGATTCTATTCTAATTCGACTCTTGAACCTTACAGTCCAAATCCAGTTCAATCCTAATAAAAAGAATTCTAAAAGAACTAAGTATAAAAGCTTTTTTCATTACTCTGGATTTGGGTTCCAACCGTTTTCTACGTTTCTGCCAGTTACAACGATCTAGATAAAAACTGGTCTTGGATATTGTTTGGGCTCCAGAGAGCAAGTTTGTCCACCATCACACTCACGGTAGCTGCTTCCAAAGCTTTACCAGGCAATTCAGCCGTTTGCCTGAACAATTATCTTTCTCGCATTATCGCCTAATGAAATTCGGGTGGGATTGGTTTAAGGGAAAACAGAGGAGGACTTTCATTGGGGATTTAGCAGCAACTTTAATATATACTGCAATTAGAACCCATATTTTTGTCATTTCTGACATAAAATCCGCATCTCATTGACCTACCTGACAACAATCATTTGTTTATAAAATTTTGAAAAAAAAAAAAAAACAAAACTCAGACCTATAAATTGCAAAAAAAAAGATTATCGGAATTTTTTTTTGATTAGGCTCACTCTCAGAGCCACTTGACAGGTGCTAAAAAAACAACAATAAAACGATATCTTCCAAAACACCTGCCCTAATCAAGTGACTCACATTTAAGATTACAAATCATGTGGACTATAAATTGGTCAAATTCTATTCCAAGAAAGTGTTTCGGTGGCCATAAAGTAACGCGGCCATTTTTACGTTACTCTTCGGCGAACGATAAGCAACAAAGTTTTTACGATGTTGTCTGATAAATGACAAAGCGACATATGGCGGCAACAATTAGCTGTCATAAAAAAACGTGTGACAGAACATGTGAACGGGTAGCCAAAATCCATAAATGTGTGCAAAAACAAGGAATTGCTTTCGAATCAGGGTAATAAAATTTAATTATTTAAAAAAAATAAAAAAATATGAGTGATTTATTTTTAAAATTTTCATTTCCGTAGTCCTACCAAATAAAAAAAGATATGCTGATTTTTAGAAAGCTATAGGCCTCTTGTTTCAAAATCCGTTTACTTTTCTCAAATAGGTCAGTTATTTCAAAAGTTATGGCTCCTGAAAGCGAAGCGCTCAAATAATACAAATAACCAAACAATTTGCGCACTTGTATAATTTGTGGGATATCTCCCGAATTTAATGAGATACCTCAACCAAACTACAGCCATGAAAAGACAAGATGTCTCTCTCTAAAAGAAAATTTATTTGAGACTGATACGCTGCGAACCTAGAGAGTTATGGGCTCTTCAACATGATTGCTTGAAAAATAATATTATATAGAAAATTCCATAACTTGTATATTTTGGCCGATATCTCTGTTACTTTAGGGAACACATTAAATATTATTTCCATATTTTCAAATGACATTACTTTCTCCCCCCAAATTATTTTAAATTTCCCAAATAGGCCAATTTAATCAAAAGTTATGTCCCATAGACTTGAGTTACCCAAAAAAATTCAAATAAACTAAAAAATTAGGTATTTGCATAATTTTTCTCATATCTTGGGTATTTGGTGAGCTACATTAAAGTAATTTATACCGATACAAAGATCAAGCACTTGCCTTTATAAATTAAAAGTATTTTCGTTTTTAAAATCCTTTACTTAAGAATTTAAGGCCCAAGATGAGGGTTACGGAAAAAATTAGCAAAAGAAAAATTTTCAAATACTTGTTTAATTTTTCCCATAACTCTCTGATTTATTGAGCTACATCAAAACAATATACTAGTGAATTATAGGGAATATGTTGAGCTTTCAAAATAAAGCCTATTTTATGAAGATACAGAACAAATATTACAAGTTATGGCTCCTAGAATGTGATAACTTGAAAAAATTCTAAGCAGAAGAACTTTGTTTACTTGTTACGTTTTTTACATAACTCGTGTATTTACTGAACTATCGTAACCTAATATTCTACTGAATTGTAGAGTAAACATTGTTATTTCAGAAAAAGATTCGTTTTGTAAAAATGCAGGCTACATATTAAAAGTTATGAGCCCTACAATGTGATAACTTAAGAATTTTGGAAAAAAGTTAATTTCGTAAAGTTGTTTTTTCTTTACCATAACTCAGTTACTTGTTGAGCTATATGTTAAAAATATGCTATTGCATTGTAGAACATATACTTATCTTTCCGAAAAGTGGTTATTCCTCATTCGTATCCTCACTATTTGTGAAGATATGAGCCTTAGAATGTGATTACTTGGAAAATTATTAAAATGAGAAACTTCGAGTACTTGTTTACCCGTTTCCCTAACTCGCTTGTTTTTTGAGTTATAGCGAGACATGACTCCATTCAATTACAGAGCATCTAATGCTCTTTCAGAATGGAGTATATTTTGTGACAATAACTTAACTACTTTTAAAGATATAACCCTAATAGTGTGCCTATTTAAAAAGTTATTGAAATGGGAAATTTAGAGTGCATGTTTACTTTTACCCATAACTCGCTAATTTGTTGAGTTACAACAAAACACTATTCTATTAAAATGTAGTGCAGATGGTTGTCTTTCAAAATATAACGTATTTAATGCATATAACTCACTTATTTTTGAAGATATGACCCTTAGAATGAGATTACTTGAAAAACTACTAAAACGAGACATTTTAAGTAGTTGTTTACTCTTTCCCCTAACTCGCTCATTTTTTGAGCCACAGTTAGGCATTGTTCTATTGAAGTGTGAAGCAGATGTTTCCCTTCCAAAATCAGGATTACTTCGTGACTGTAAGTCAACTATTTCTTTTGATATGCCCCTTATAATGTCATTGCTTGACAAATGACTAAAACGGCAAATTTCGAGTACTTGTTTACTCTCTCCCATAACTCGCTCACTTTTTGAGCTACAGTGTGACAGTATTCTATTGAATTGTGGAGCAGATGATTTTCTTTCAAAATTTAACTTACTTTATGACCATAGTTTAACAACTATTAAATATATGGCCCTTAGAATGTGATTACTCGAAAAATTAATAAAATGAAAAATATCGAGTACTTGCTCACTCTTTCGAATAACTCAGTTAGTGGATGACATACATCAGAACAATATTCTAATGACTTATGCGGCAACTGTTTCTCTCTCAATAAAAGTATATTTTGTTAAGATATTGCTTAAACTTGAGAAGTTATGGCCTCCTGAATAAAGTAACGCAAAAAATTACATCGATTTAAGAAATTGATTACTTGCATATTTTGAGCGATAACTTGAATATTTGAGGACATACAACAAAATATTGCGCCACGAAAATGTGGAACAGATGCTTCGCTTTAAAAATAAGATATAAGCCATTAAGATATAGTCACAAATTTTGAAGTTATGGCCTCTAGAATGTCGTAACGAAATAAATGTCATCCACTAAAGAAATTGATTAGATTTGAATTTTCCCTAATAACTTTAGTATTTGAGAAGATACAAGAATATGTTATGGTATAGAATTGAGGAACAGACGCTATTTAGAAATGGGGAATAAACCACAAAGATATGGCGACCAGTTTTGAAGTTATGGCATCTGGAATATTGTAACCAAAAAAATTTCATCCACTTCAGAAATTTATCACTTATGTATTTTAAGCGATAACTTTGGTATTCGTGGAGATACAATAAAATATTGTTCCGTGAAATTGTGGAACAGATGCTTCTCTTTAAAAATGCGGAATAAACCATAAAGATTCGGCGACAAATTTTGAAGTTATGGCCTCTGGAATATTGTAACGGAAAAAATGTCATCCACTTCACAAATTTATCATTTATGTATTTTAAGCGATAACTTTGGTATTTTGCGAAACACAATAAAATATTGTGCCATGAAATTGTGGAACAGATTCTTTTCTTTAATAATGGGAAAGATACTGTAAATATACGGTAACAAATTTTAAAGTTATGTCCTCTGGAATATTGTAACCAAAAAAATTTCATCCACTTCAGAAATTTATCACTCATGTGTTTTAAGCGATAACTTTGGTATTTGTGGAGATGAAATAAAATATTGTTCTGTGAAATTGTGGAACAGATGTTTTTCTTTAAAAATGGGAACCAAACCATAGAGTTACGCCGACAAATTTTGAATTTATGACCCCTAGAACTTAGTTGCCGAAAAAATGTTTACACTTTCAACATTTGGACACTAATGAAGTTTTCGCTATAACTCAGATATTTGGTGAGTTGCATTACCATAACTTGTACTCTTTAAAGATCACATGTCGCTCTTTCAAAATTAATATAGCATGCTATATATATGTATTCCCATGGGAATTTTTCCCATGCGATTTTTTTTTTGGCAGTTGTCTTTGATTCAACACCTGCTGTTATTTTCCCAGGTGATGAGTTCTTAAATCACATGAAAGTTATATTTCATATTTTATTTTCGCTGAAGGTCTCCTCTTTGTCTAATGAAAACACAACGAAAACAACTGAATAATTTACAAATGTTGTAAAATGCGGGGTTTTTTTCTTCTCGCTTCCTTCCTTCACCAAGAAAGGCAGATAAAAAATGTTTTGATTAAGATAAGATAAATGTCTAGAGTCTACGTTACTTTTGGCACATATGAGAGGGCCGATCTTTGTTAGGGCGAGCAATTTTGTAAAAAGTCTTTGTTTTTGGATTTTGAAGACCCATGTCCATGTGGGAAAATATAGTAAATATCCTTGCTTGGCTTTAGAATGGTTGTGTTTGTTTTAAGTATACATTCCTAATGTGTTTTATAGACCTTCTGGAAAATATTGTTTATTAAACAAGTTTTATTTACTTTAAAAAGTTTGCGTTTAACCTTTTTCTTGCCATGTTTCAGCCCCGCTGAATATGGTGAGGGAAATTGCCCCAGTTTTTTCAGTAAACAAAGGAAATCAAGTAAATTTTATGGAAAAGTTCTGAAAGGAAAACTTGTAATGATTTTTGAAATACTCCATAAAAAATAAGTTAATGAAGTTTTTTTTTTCTTAAATATATAAAAAATGTAGTTATTTTTAAAATTTTTCTTGAAAAAATATTTATTTGTATAATAATATTTATTATAAATTGCATATGCTTATGTTAAGCTAATGATTTTTTCAAATTTAATTTTTTA